TGCACAATGGCAGATCAGGGGCATAGGCAGCAGCTGCAAACTTTAATAAAAATAAGATTTTACTATATTTAGTGGGGCAACAGGAAGCCAGATGGGCTAGATTGTGTTTTTTTATACTATAGGGTCAGGAATGCACGTTTGTTTTCCTGGCCTTATAGTGTTCCTTTAAACTGTCATTAAAGCTGATTATAGCTCCATCAAATGTATGTAGGTAATGGTGCCTTTATTCTATTAATTCTTAAAACTGTTACAGAATTCACTATTTGTATCTATTTCTCTATACATTCTGTATTGTATATCTTAATTTCAAGTAACACCTACTACATTCTAGAGTCGGCATTTTATGGCAAATGTTTAAATAATGAGCAATGAAAGGCTCTAAAAATTGTTCATCTTAATGTGTAATATTAATATAACAGTTTACCATGTTAAATGTTTTTGTTTTGTTTTTTAACACACTGCGGTTAGCAATGCCCGGTCTTCTGTGGGATTAGCGGCTTTGTATGTTTTCCCTTCCTTTTCAACCCATAAAACCTGGAAGTGGACCATCGATATGCTAGTCCTGCAGTTTGGAGTGCTTTCGTAATGGGTTGCATGCATGGATGTATCTACAACGAGGCAAACAAGGCATTTGCCTTGGGCAGCAATTTCCAGGGGGCGGCCAAAAAAAAGGCACCCCCAAATACAAGGCATACCTCGTTTTATGGGAGCACAAAAGCTGGCTGCCTTTGGGCTCCCCTTGGCCAGGCGGGTGGTTGGTTGTGTGTGTTTCAGTGAATGTGGGTCAGTGAATTTGAGTGAGTGTGTGCATCTGTCAGTCAGTGCGTGTCCGAGTAAGTGTATGTCTATCAGTGTGTCAAATCAGTGAGTGTGTGTATGTCATTGTTTGTCAGTGTATATGAGAGTGTGTGTCTGTCCATGAGTGTGTGCGTCTGTCAGTGAGTGTGCATCTGTCAGTCAAAGTGCGGCCTTGACAGGAAGGGGTGGGGAAAATTTTAATTAGGGGGGTTGCCCGAGCACCGTCCTGCCTAGGGCATCACAAAACCTAAATACACCACTGGTTGCATGCTTTTGCACCACAGAAGTGTAGACCTACTTAAATCCCGAAAGAGGGAGATAATATGAATTCATAAGGGATCTATCCATTTAACGCAGAAATATTTTATTTATTTTTTTAAACGTGCTTGCCATTATCATAGAACCTGTCAAGAACCTAGTTCAAACTGTATGTACATATTTTCTCTCTCTCACAACAATATTAGGTTGCTTAGTGATATTAAACAACTTATTGCTTTTTTTCCGGGCTCTCTTTCCGGTGCATGCGGTATTACAGAGGGGATGCCAGGAACTACTGTAACTACAGAAAATCACATACATTATATGTGCATCTATTGTGACCTATATAGTGCAATTGGGTTTTCACATCTCCACAATTTACTTTTTAATGAATAAGCCATAAAAAAAACAGTGGGCTTTATTTGCCAAATTGGGAGATGTGCAGAAATTACAAAGGATATACAGATTGTAAGCTATCTATCTCCGCTTTATTTTGAGCGCTGGTATGTTGTGCTAGAATTTAAAATATCCTTGTTAATTCACCAAAAGTCCTAATTTAGTGAATAAATAGAATTATAGTGAGTAACAGGGGCGGGAGCCGAGCAGAGGTTGCCAGAGTCTCCACGACTGGTTGTTGCAGGGCCAGTGCCTGAGTAGCCATAGTTGGCCAGTAGGGAGATAAAGATCTCCCTCACGTGCCAGGCTCCCTGGTGATAGAGGGTAGGAGAGAGAAAGTAAGCTGAACGTAGTTTTCAGCTCCTCCTACAGTATCGGAGCATTGCCACAGGTTACCAAGGCAACGCTTTGATACATTTCTCTGCACCGAGCTGTCTGCACCCACTGAGGGTGCAGACAAGCAGCACATCTCCCACCAGACCATCAGGGATCAGGACTCCCCCCTCCTTGGGCCAAGGTAAGCCTCAGGGAGGAGGGAATAAACTGTAGATTTATTTTCAGTCTATATCCACACACTACATCCTCTATTCCCCCACTATAGTCCCTAAACATTCCTTAACCCGCCAATTACAGCCCCAATCCACCTGCTACAGTCACTTTCCCGCCAGCTACAGCCCCCATTCTTCCTCGATGCTGCCCTATATCCCCCCCACCTACAGCCCTTATACCCCTACTACAGTTTTAAAACCCCTACAACATTCCCTAACCTCCCAATTACAGCCCCTGTGCACGCACCTCATCCAACTACAGCCTCCTATCTCCTCCTCCTCAATCTCATCACAACTGCCACCTATCTCACCATACTACAGCCTCCATACCCCCTCACAACAGTCTGTATGCCCCTTACCCCTTCACTAGTTCTCTTACTTTCCCCCCACCCTCCCCACTACAGGCCCTATCCCCTACTATAGCTCTCAAATTCTAACCACCCAATTACAGGCCCTTTACCCCACTACAGCCCCGTATCCCATCACACTACAGCACCTATCCCCTATACCAGCCTCCATACCCCCCTCACTACAGTCTGTATGCCCCTAACCCCTTCACTAGTTCTCTTACTCCCCCCAATACAGCCCCTATCCCCTACTATAGCTCTCATATCCTAATACAGCCCCTAACCACCCAATTACAGGTCCTATCCACTCACTACAGCCCCCTATCCCACCATACTACAGCACCTATTCCCTATACCAGCCTCCATTCCCCCTCACTACAGTCTGTATGCCCCTAACCCCTTCACTAGTTCTCTTACTCCCCCCCCCCACTACAGCCCCTATCCTCTACTATAGCTCCCATATCCTAATAAAGCCCCTAACCACCCAATTACAGGTCCTATCCACTCACTACAGGCCCTTTCCCCTACTACAGCCACCTATTCCCTATACCAGCCTCCATACCCCCCCACTACAGTATGCCCCCCCACTACTGTATGCCCCTAACTCTTTAACTACTTCTCTTACACACCACCCATCCCCCCCCCACTAGAGCCCCTTTCCCCTACTATAGCTCCCATAGCCTATTACAAGCCCCTCCCCCCAACTACAGCCCCTACCAGCCCACTACCAATACCCCTCCTGAAATTAGGTTTGGAACTGCCCCAGTTGTCTGATATGTAAAATTTTACCTAAAATATTGAAACAAAAATCACAAGCTCATATTTAAAGAGTTACATATTTTTTCTCAATTAGATTATCTAAAAGGAAGAAAAATTGCTTTAGACGCTCACTCTTATTTAAAGATATTTAAAAATAGAGAGGAGCATTTTCACTTCTTTCTGTGCTTTTGTAAAACTAAAAAGTGTGTACAAGTGTGTGTTCTTAGTGTATCCCTGAGTGTGTGATTTGTGTGTACGAGTCTTTGAATGAGAAGTGACATCTTTACGAGTGGCTGAGCCTGTGTTATATTCATTATACCACACTGCAAGCTTTATTAACCCAGGCATTTGGAATTGTGCTTGTCAGGGTGATTAATATTTGTCACACCGTGGGGAGCAGCTGTAAACACAGGATAAGTCCAAGACAAGAAGATAAAATATTTATTAAGGATCCACAGAACCAGGATGTGCCCATCCTGACAGGATATCACACGCTGTATTCCAATTACAGGAGATAAATTTAATCCTGTTAAATTTAAACTGTCTCTGTCAACAGACATTTTGTTTGCACTATCATGTAGCACTTTTAATATTTATCAACGCAATGTAGTTTTAATTTGTTCAGTAGTGTTTTTTTTTTGTTTTTTTTGCAGTAAATGTTTTTACACAAGAGGTCAAGCTAACCCTGACTTAGTTTGGGCATACATGGGTTTCTGATTAAATTATTAATCTCAAAGATTCCGAAGTCTTCCATGGACAGTGGAATGTGCACAGAGTTGTCTTAATTTGTAAAAAAAAAAAAATTTAAAAAAAATTCTAAAAATCTGGTTGGCTGCTGACATCACATGCTCTTAGCAACAGCCATTTTGTCATTGAGACAGGATTCTAAAATTGCTACATCTACAAACACAAATCATAAATCTGTCAGATTTGTAAAGGAGAACTGTCAATTTCATTACTTGTGGAGTTATTGAAAAGTACTGTCCCAGTTATAAAGTGTTAATGCCTGCAAATTGAAAGTGGATTCAAATGGATTTCACATGTTCAATCTAAACTAGCTAAACTGAAAACATAACTCTCTCTGAGACATCTCCCTTTAAACGTCTGACAATCCACATGTTAGGGGTTTGTCAAAACTTGAATTGCAGAACAGACTAAAACAGCTGATTTGGAAAAGTTGGAAAAGCTTTGAAACTCAGATGCAGTGATAATTATAGTCCCATTCAAATGCACAGCTCAATGTGTAATTGGAAAGCAGATGAAAAATGCAAACAATTTACGTGAAATAGAAAAACGATGTGTTTTAAATGGGAAATTATATTGTATTATATTGTAGGAATTATTTTAGTCAGAATCACTATTTCATATAACCATAAAAGCACATATTTGCCTGTAGTGTTAATCTTTGCTATTGAGTGAGATACACATATAAGCACATAGCACCTCAATGCCTTATTTCCCATTGCACGATGCTGTACCATTGACGTAAACTTTGATGAAACCTGTAGATAGAAAGAGAGATTTCTTGTACATTTGATAGCTAATTGATCTTTTTTTCAGATGTCGCTGGAGCAAAAGTCCAAATCATAGATAAGCGATAAATATATATATATAATCTCGGAACTGTAACGCTTACATAGAAATTATTCAAAAATTCAGGCATTAAAAAAAAGACAAACTTAAAATTTAAAAATAAAAATAGCAATAAAAATAGCAATAATACACACTACAAACGTATATGGCAGTTTTCAAACCGTTATTATACTGTGGGTACCATAGAATGCTTGTTGATCAAACTGTTTTCAAGGAATTTGACTAAAATCCTTTTAGCACCCACAGCCTGGTCCCACGTCCACCTATCAGTTACTTCCATATTCTTATTCCATACATGGCTGTGCTAATCAGCTGATGTGCTCGCACCATTTATAGTGCTGCATGTTAATACTTTGGGAGGTTAACAGTGTAGATTAAGAAGCACTGCACCCTTAGACTGTGGAGGAGTACTGTGATGTATCCCATAATCCTTATGGACAGAAGAATTACACAGGACTGGGAATTATTGTTATTTTTTTGAAAAGCACACAAGCATACATGATAATAATTTCATATAGATGTATTTAAACATGACATTTTATTTGGTCAACCTCACCAAAGTTGGTGGTAATTTTATTTGTAGCCATTTTACTTTTTTGCTTAGTATTGAGTAGGATAAGGGCTACTATCTGACAAATTCATGTAAATGAATTCATCTACATCAACAGTTTCCAGAAATAGATCTAGTGGGAACAGACACACAGACATGTTTTTGAAAAAATTTAAATAATGGTTTTTTTTTTTAGAATTTTGTCTACACATCTGACATTTGAGGATCCTCGAAAGGAGCATGTCCAAATTTTCTCGGGCAGATGAAAAAATCCTTTTATTGGAATAATGCTTGATTGCCGGACATGCACCTGTCCATTTGCACTTACTAGACTGTCCAACTTCTGAGATGGAAGGATTCAACTAGCAGGAATTAATCCTCCTTGATCATACCTCCCACTAACTATTTTTCTTCCCCCCATACAGCCAGGACTTTATCAATCAAAGATAAAACCACTTCAACCCACCCTGCACTTTGAAAAAGGCTCTTGTGTGAACCAACATGTTACCATTCCATTCTAATAAAGTTTTGGACATCCTGTGTGCCTGGACATCTGTTCCCCACTCCGTACCTTTGACTGGCTTCTTTCAGTCTCGGTTTAACATTTTTCGCTACTGTACTTTTATCAGGGTTATTCACAAAAGTGAGAATATAAAGCTTTCAGTTTAGCTAATTTGGCCTAAAATGTTCGATTCACTTTGAAATCTTACTTTAGTAAATAACCCTGCATGTCTTTCTCCATTCTACAACTCTGCACCGCCTGGAGTGGAAACATATATAACAATCAAGAAATTATTAATGTAATGTCTAATGCCAAAATATTGGTTTACCAACATTTGACACTTCCAAACATTTTTTTATGTTCCCAAATATTAATTCATGCATGTGATACAAGTTCACTCGGTCCGTAAAAGCCCACTGCTGATGGATGTGTGTACACACACACACATCACAATTTCCCCCCAATCCCCCCCCCCATTATTTGTTTCACCCTTTCGCTCATTCTTCAATAAAATATTTGAAACAAAATAATACATTTTTTGTAACTTTTCATTGTAACAATGTTTCTTTGTGTTAACTTCAATGTTATTCAAGCAATTTCATTAAAGACTTCTGCACAGTAGATTGTACATGTGTATATATTAGACAAAACTGAAAAAGAGCAAGAAATTTTGAAGAACAGTATTTAAAAATATTTCTGCTTCTTGTTACTCCAACTTTCAATGATTCAACTCATTTAACATATCACTGCCACTAGTTAAATGGCCCTATGTGGAACTGCAGCAATTAAAAGTCTGTTCAGTCTATAATAACATTACTTACACCCAGCTGAGCTCTTTAACTACTAAATGTGTTTATGCAACAGTGGAAAAACAGGATAACCAGCAAAGTGTGAGTGTGCTGATACACATGTCTACATATATACAAAAACAGACCATCTACCACACTGTATTTGTAAATTGCTCTCTGGGGTAATAGAATTGCATTGCACCCGGATCAAAATGTGCAGTGTACACAAGTTTGCATTTATTTCATATTATGTCACTTAATACACAATGTACAGTGGAATACAACTGGCCAAAGTATTAGTTTTAGGAAAGCCAAAAAAAATAAATCATTTGGAATAGCCTTCCAGCTGAAGTGGTAGAGGTTAACACAGTGAAGGAGTTTAAGCATGTGTGAGATAGGCATAAGGCTATCCTAACTATAAGATAAGGCCAGGGACTAATCAAAGTATTTAGAAAATTGGGCAGACTAGATGGGCTGAATGGTTCTTATCTGCCGTCACAGTCTATGTTTCTATGTTATTAAACACAAGGAATGAAAACTTCAGATAAAGCAAAAAAAAAAACCCACTGAAATCACAATAAGTGGTATATAAAAGGAATAAAAATAAAGAATCCCTCTATATATATATATGAACATGTCAGATTTACTGTTCACCTTGGCAGATGATAATATCGAGGAAGATGAAATGGCTACTGGTAAAGCAACAAGCCATTTTAAATTTCAAAAAGTGGTCTGCATGGCACAAAACCAGAGCTGCCCATCACCAGCAACAACAAGCAAACAGTGTCTCAAAGAAAATCCTTCTACCAGACACATTTCTCTTGGATACTCTGCTTCCATACATCAGCATCGACAGTAGAAGACCAACCTAAATTTCGGATACAAATTATAAAACATCATATACTGTGTCTATGCTCATTTCAACCTCGTCCATTTGCCTTTCTCTTTCATATAAGCTCATTTTACGTGCACCGAAGGTTCACCCTGTTTATGAGCTAAACAACCTATTAGAATGTAGGAAAAAAGTAATTTTAATAATAAATGTAGGGAAAGGCCCTGCCAAATATTTGTGAGGAATTTTACATCTTAAAGGGACACTATAGTCACCGGAACAACTACAGCTTATTGAATTTGTTCTGGTGAGTAGAATCATTACCTTCAAGCTTTTTGCTGTAAACACTGTCTTTTCAGAGAAAATGCAGTGTTTACATTACAGCCTAGTGATAACTTCACTGGCCACTTCTTAGATGGCTGTTAGAGATCCTTCCTGCGTCATGGCTGCCTAAAATGCATCCAAACATTCAGTATCTCCTCCCTCTGCATGCAGACACAGAACTTTCCTCATAGAGATTCATTGATTCAATGCATCTCTATGAGGAGATGCTAAATGGCCAGGGCTGTGTTTGAATCATGCTGGCTCTGCCCCTGATCTGCCTCTTTGTCAATCTCAGCCAATCCTATGTGGAAGCATTGTGATTGGATCAGGCTACAACTTCTGATGATGTCAGCAAACAGCTTGTTTTTTTGTTTTGTTTTTTAGACAAACAGCATGCAGAGCTACAGCTTCAGGCTTGAATACATTAAGAGTTTGCTATATTTATAGAGGCACGAGGGGCCCAGAGGGGCTAGATGGTGGTTTTAACTCTATAGGGTCAGGAATACATGTTTGTGTTCCTGACCCTATAGTGATCCTTTAAGTTCAGCTTCTGAGCTAAGAAGGAAAATTGTGAAATCAACTTGCAAGAAATCGTGGAACTACTCAGACAATATCAGATTGTCAACTTCAGATGTCCTATATTAGAGAATAAAATCCACCTGACTTCTGTTGAGATGGACAAGTGAGACAAATAGATGAACAATATAACTTGATGCCAAAAAGTGATGTGGGAGGTGAGTTTATGTAAATGGTTGGAAAATGGGGAAACAATGAAAAAAATTATAGCGATAGGTTTAATTTAGGGCTTAATTATTGCGGGTAAAATTGTAGACTTTGCCCAAAACAGAATTGTAGTGAATTTAAAACAGAAAAGTAAAATTTTGAGAAAATATACATTTGGAGTGGATATTTTGTTTTCCCACATTGTCTTCATAGTTGAAAGGCATGAGGCTTGAAGGAATTTTTGAGACAGGACCATTTTCTAGAGGTCACTCTTTGATCATTCAAGCTCCCTCCAGTTCATACACTTCAGTGGTCTCGGTCCTTGATGATGCTTTACAGTTATGTGCCCTTTAACATGACCCAGGCTCACCTAACCCAATGTATGGTTTTCATGTGAAAAAATTTAATGTTTAAGGAAACTAGAAATTAATTCAAAGACTTTTTCTATGACCAATTTTAACTAACATACTTGGAGAATGTCTGAGTGGCACCTCAAACTTTACAGGGTGTTTCATAGATTACATTAATGGAAGAATTAAGAGTGCAGGGGGGCGGCGCCTGGCTTCCGAGGAAGATGGCCGCACAGTGTTAGAGCTCCGCGAGAAGCAGGCACACAATAGCAATCGCACACACTCACCAAAGTCCCGGGAAACGAAGCACCAAGCTCCGGCAGCGCAGCTCACCATGGGGGGGGGGGGCAGGAAATCTAAATCAAACACAGCACAGCGGTAGCCCCGATCTTCCAAAGCCGCGGGGAACAAGACCGCCCACGTGGTAATGGCGGCAACGGCGGTCAGGACTCTGAGTCAGAGTCAGAGCTCAGCAACCACAGCCACACACAAGACCAGGGTCCCCTCACTAAAAGAGACCTGCAAAGCCTCCTCCAGGACATCAAGTGCAACATAGCAGCAGAATTTGCAAAGCATCTAGCCCCACTGAAAGAAGAAGTGGCAGACCTGACTAAACGAACCTCAGATATAGAAGACAGAATGGAGCAGGTCACTTCAACCTCCACCACGCAAGCACAAACTATTTTAGAATTAAAAGAGCAAGTCAAAGCCCTTGAAGATGCACAAGAGGATTTGAATAATCGCTCGAGGAGAAACAACATCAGAATAAGGGGGATCCCTGAATCGGTCACCATGGAAACCCTAACGGCCACATTAAGAGAAACCTTATGCGGCCTCTTACCTGAAGCGCCTCCGGCAGAGTTACTCATGGACAGAGCACATAGAGCCCTGAGAGCACCAGCTCTAAGCACCACTCTACCTAGAGATGTAATAGTGCGCATGCACTACTTTCATGTCAAAGAAGCCATTATGAGGGCAACACGGGACACACCGCCTCCATTGAAGGCCACCGAGTCCAATTCTTCCAGGACCTGGCCCCAAGCACTTTGTGCAAACGGAGGGAACTGCGGCCCCTGACCTAAGCACTGACGGAGCAACGAATTAGATATGCCTGGGGCCACCCGTTCAAACTTCTGGTACATAAGGACAACCAGACGTTTACCCTCCACCACCCGTCAGAAATGACAGACTTCACAGAACAACTCAGATTCTCAGGTCTGGACCACGGACCCCACCAGTCGCAGAGTAGAGCGCCTCCAAATAGACGTAGAGGGCCTGGAGGACCCACAGAATACAGAGACTAGCTCTAGCCCTGCGGACACACCCGCCACCAGCCACCCACCCACAACCCGACCCTCTCGGCCCGGCTACCTTGAAGGCAACGACAGCCCGTCCTCGTCATCTGGCCACCCGCACAACGCCTGGTACATGGAATAGAGGCGCCTCTTCACGCATAATGAAAGACTCTACACTACCAGACAGCGCAACCAGAGACAGAGACGATCCAGGAGATAGCAAGTATACAGGGGACCCCACCCAGCCAGAAACATAGATTACTATCCAAAGGGGAAACCCCACGCTTTAACTTAATACACTCCCCCCCCGCCCCCCCGGGTCCCGTCCCAGACCCACACCCGGGTGGGTGCCCTCCCCCCCTCTATCCAGCCGACAACGCGGGGCCCTGCCTCGCCCCCCCACCGGCCCGCTGCTGAGAACCCCGCTAAGTATAATTGGGAACCCGGCTTGAATTCCCCTGCCGGGAACACATGAACCCCAGCACTCTACCTACACCACAGAGCCATACCGCATGCATCTGAGGGCTGGGCATTCTGGTAGACTCCGGGCAAAATTGTGTCTCCTAGCACATTGATATGCTGTACTCAGTCAACCAGGGACACTGGAGATATGGGCATAACCAGCTGATGGGGGGAGGGGCGGGGCGGCGGGCGCGGGGGGCTGGAGGTTAATGGTACCTCAACAGGGATTGAGCAAAATGTTTAATGTTTCAAGTTTAATGTTTGATGTTAAATGCTTGTTCACACAGAAACCTCAGAACACGGACTTGAGAGTGCGCATTCCACACCAACATCACAGCCTGCTAGCGAGACTCTGACAGACTGTCACGACCCACTACACACTCTTACCACAACTCACGACCCAACAACCGAGGAGCTGCCAGACGACTAACCCCAACTCTTACTGGCCCCAAGGATAAGACCAGTAGACCAACCTTTGCCGCTCTCCCTGCATCGGCCGGGCCCCCAGGGACCCCCGCGCCCCGGACGCGGGGCACCCATTACCCAAACACCACAAACACACCACATATCTAGCTAGAGGTCCAGACACTGAAGCACAAACTCAACAATTCCCATTACAATCAAATGTGTGTCGATTAACGTACAGGGACTCAACTCCCCCTCCAAAAGGCACAGTCTTCTGAGATGGGCCTACAAGCTCAAAACAGATATACTCTTTGTGCAAGAGACCCACTTCACTGCCCAGAGAACATTCACCCTAACCAATAGATACTACAACCGAAGCTATCTCGCAAGCTCGCCAAACACAAAAACAAAAGGGGTGGCCATTCTCATACGCTCATCTTGCCCGATAACAGGCATACACAGCACCGCAGACCCCCAAGGCCGCTTTCTCACTATAACAGGCTACATAGGCACCATATATGCCCCGACCACGTCAGAACCTAATTTCTGGACTTTATACTCGACACACCTACGGGCTTACACCAACGTACCAATAATCATCGGGGGGGACTGCAACGCAGTCAACACCACGGCAGTCGATCGACAACACCAAACCAGAACACAACCGAATAGAAATGACACCCTATTTGCCAACTTTCTAGCTACCCAACCATTAATAGATATCTGGAGAGCCCAACACCCGACTGTGAGGGACTTCACCTTCTACTCAAACCCACACGCTTCGTACTCACGCATAGACCAATTTCTAATTTCACCAGGACTACTCTCCCACATAACAAATACAACCATAGGAACGATAGCATGGTCAGACCATGCTGACATCACACTCACCTTAAACATACCCCACCTCAAAAAGCACTGGACGTGGAAGCTCAACCCACTCCTCCTACACGACACAGCACTCAAAACAGAAATCTCAAAACACCTCACAGAATATTTTGAACTAAACTCCGCAGCAGACATCTCACCGATTTCCATATGGGCAGCCCACAAAACAGTCATCAGGGGATACCTGATTAGCCTAGCATCAGCCAAAAAAAGACAAAGGCAACAAAATCTCTTAAATGCCCTAGCGGACCTCCAACGCTTAGAAACCGAACACAAACAACGCCCGCTGCCGTCCACTCTAGCCCAACTGACAGACATACGGCGACAAGTGAAACAACTTACACAAGCTGACACAGCAAAAGCCATAATGTGGCTTAAGCAAACATACTATGAAAAAAGTAACAAAGCAGACGCAATGTTAGCACGTCGCCTGAAACACAGAATAGAAGCTAAACAAATACATAAAATACAGACCCAATCAGGACAACTGAGCAACAACCCAGACAGAATAGGAGAAACATTCCACAGCTATTTTGCGGCCCTTTACAACCATTCCCCTACACCGAAGAGAACAGAGCATACAGACGAAATGGCCATGACCGACTTCGCCGACAAACTGAACCTCCCCACCTTGACCCAGACCGCCCGAGCCACACTAGCGGGAGAGGTCACGGTGGACGAACTGGCAACAGCACTTAAATCCTTCAAACCCAATAAAAGCCCAGGCCCAGACAGCTATATATTATAAAGAATACAGCCACCTCCTACTACCGCACCTCATGCGGGTCTTCAACGCCCTCCTACGGGGAGAGACACTACCAACCGACATGACAACGGCACACATTTGCCTAATACCGAAACCTAACAAAGTCCATACACAACCCGAACACTTCAGACCGATTTCTCTCCTTAATGTGGACCTCAAAATCCTTACCAAAGTAATGGCCAACAGATTGAACCCCTTCTTAGAACAGATAATACACCCAGATCAGGTGGGGTTCATCCCCAATAGACAAGCCTTAGATAACACTCGCAGAGCCGTAGACCTGATCTGGGTAGCACAGCACAGACAGATCTCAATGTGTGTCATTTCACTTGACGCCGAGAAGGTGTTTGATCGCCTTCTCTGGCCATACCTCTACCACACTCTTAAAAGATACAACTTCCCAAATAACTTCATTACCTTCTTGAAAGCTTTGTACCACACACCACAAGGTGCCCTCATGCTCCCTAATATCACCCCAACACGCTTCACTATTGCGAACGGAACAAGACAGGGATGCCCTCTTTCACCCCTACTATTTGCGAACTCGCTGGAACCCCTGATGCAAGCAATACGCACCGACCCAGACATAAAAGGACTACAAATAAGGGGAGAAGTCTTCAAAGTAGCAGCGTACACGGACGACGTCCTGCTAACGCTCACTGACCCCGAAACATCAATAGCGGCCCTACTGACCTTAATACAATCATATTCCACACTGAGCGGCTATCGACTTAACATCGCAAAGTCGGAACTGCTACCACTAAATATAACCGAGGCAAGATTGGAACACATCCAAAACCTATTCCCAGCACGCACCTGCCCCGATTCCATCACGTACCTGGGAATCCAACTTACAAGAGACTTGACACACCTATACGAGGCAAACTACAAACCCATACTTCACCAGGCTCGCGAGGACCTGAGAAGATGGCAACCACTAGGGATATCATGGCTGGGCAGGGTAACCTCTATTAAAATGAATCTCCTGCCCAGATTCCTTTACTTGTTTCAAACCCTGCCCATCCCTGTCCACAAACAGGATCTTAAAACACTCCAAAAGGAAGTGGATTCCTTTGTCTGGAACGGCCAAAAACCAAGGGTGCAAAAGAACACGCTATACGTCCCCAGACAGACGGGAGGCCTAGGACTCCCAAACTTCGCACATTATCTGACAGCAACACCCCTGGCCCAAATACAACAGTGGCACCTCCCACCAGGTAAAAAACTATGGGTAGACCTGGAACACCTGATATTCGGTTGGGACCACCCGTCCCTATATATGTGGCTACCCAAAACACAAAGACCATTACCACCACCTACATCCCCCGCGATAACACTCCCTAGATCTATGGGACAAAACAAAAGACAAATACGACCTGTCCTCCTATCTATCCCCGACCTTCCCCATATGGAGAAACAAACTGTTCCCACCTGGTCTAACCCCAGCACACTTCGCGAGCTTTGATAATAGGAATATATGTAGATTACAACACCTATACGCGGCAGATGCTATCATCGCCTACAACGATTTACCAGACAAGGACACACTCACTACATTTGATCACTTCAGATATCTGCAACTCAGAAGTTTCGCTGCCACACCCGTCATCAAACAGGCAGGCACAGCCCCTCTAACACGATTTGAACGAGATAGTATAGACCACCCAGTGAAAAGGGGCCAAATCTCAGACCTCTACACCACTATAGCAACACACCCAACCCAGGTGAAGCTCTCCTACATCAGGGCATGGGAAAAGGATTTAGGCACACTGGAAGACCCCACAGAGTGGTCGGATATATGGGAAGCCATAGCCACCACTTCAATATGCGTCACCCACAAGGAACAAGCATATAAAATGCTGTTCCGGTGGTACTTGACACCACAAAGACTAGCCACCATGAGAGCAACTCACCCCAACCTTTGTTGGAAAGGTTGCAGAGAAATAGGCACCTTCCTCCACTGTTGGTGGTCCTGCCCTAAACTGAAACCGCTCTGGCAAAGTATCACAACCCTGATCACTAGACTATTCGACAGACCATGCCCCATGGATCCCTGGCTACTATTACTATCCAAACCCAGTGACACCTACACAAGAAGGGAAAACAAACTAATAGCAAGAATAACACTCGCAGTTCGCAGAGCGATCGCTGAACAGTGGGCCACACCACACATCCCTTCGCAAACCTCCATCACACACAAGATACAGGATAGCGCAAACATGGACAGCCTCACAGCCCAAATACACGAAACAACCACACAATACCACAAGCTCTGGGACCCATGGCTAAACGGAGACACTTCACTACCCTGGTAAAACTAACCACCAAGAATTACGCCACAAAGGACCTAATACCTCATAAAACTGCTCCTACAGAGACATACCCATGCTAGGGTACACCCGTAGCACCCACAGTAGACCAAATCAAGACCTGCAACCCCGGGCTGTGGGGGGGGGAATGGGAGGACCGGCCGATGCACCCCTACCTCACCCGGCTCCAGACACATCCTGGCTTTTCATGCCACTATCCTACCTCCCTCTTTCCCCAATAATGGACCCAACTCAGAGAGGCAACGAATATCACGACAAACTTCTACCTATACAACAAATTCCAACAGTCACGTTCAGTAGCAGACACAGACAGGGGAACCAAAAAGACCCCTGAACGTCTTGAGAGTCGAGGAAACCCCACTAAAGCTCAGGGATAAAACCGAGCCACCAACAAAAAGACTAACAGATAGAAACTGCAGGGCCCATAGAAAGACCAGCACTAGTGAAAACCACTAGCCAGAAACAGACACCCTACCCACAGAAAACCCTGAAACCCGGCCCGAGAGGCCGAGGAACCAAAGACTAAGACAGCACAAGCCTAACCATTCACTAGACTGACGGGACGTTCCGGTCCTCAAAGCATGCCATAGCAGCACCCTGACGACTAACCTGCCCTCACCTACTCAAACAACGAACTGCCAAACATGAAATCTTAAAAACTCAATAAGCTTGCAATGTATATATGACAAGGAAACGTTGTATCCCCCTACCCTCTCTTAATTCTGTACCCTAAAACCAAACGCAAAAGAAAAATGAAAAAAAAAAAGAATAAAAAAAAAAGTGCAAATATATTTCCTTTACTAGACACATAGAATAATTGAGAATATGAAAGTGATCATTTTAACCCCTTAAGGACACATGACGGAAATACTCCATCATGATTCCATGTTATTCCTGAAGTTGTGTCCTTAAGGGGTTAATGTATAGAGGGGGCAGCTTTGAAAATGCTAACATTGGAAGTGTTGAAATGAAGCATACTCTCTATCCTTGCATCTTTAGATGGGTAGTGTCAGGTCATATCACATATTAATATCCACTTGTCAGATCTTCAAGGGGAAGAACTTGTTAAATAAAGATTATAATGGGCCTGCACACAGTAGAAGCGTAACAGGAGTGGGCAGGTGACAGGAGGAAGATCCCGCCCCATTAAAAAAAATAACCCCTAATAATACT